TTAATTATGCGCTGGACTTCATACGATAACATCACAAGAAATATTTGTGGATGAAGATGGAAACAGACTGAGCCACGGCCTCAGATGCCAGGGTGGACTAAGTGGGGATATTTGTCTCTACCAAGAAAGCCTCCCAAGGGATCACCATTAGTCAGGACTACCTTTTCCTTGGGAAAAGATGTCCCAATTATCTTTGCTGTAATCATCTCAAAGTCTTCTCCTTTCATCCCTTTAGGCCCCGGCATGGCATTGAGCCAACCTGAGCCACGAGGTCCTTCTCAGGAACTCTGCTTCTGGGTCACTAGGGGTACCAGCGGCCACAGCTCCTTCCATGGCTGGAATCACAGCACTTCCGAGCCACCAAATACATCCCAGAAGGCTTGGCTGGATAGCACGGAGCTAGGTGGCTTTGCAAGGGAAGGATTTGGAAAACCCTGGCCCTGCAAGGTGACTCTGCTGGTGGTCTGCAGCCCAGGGGAGGATAGGTGAGGCTAGATGGTGATGATAAAGGAGCCTCCCTCTCCCAAGCAAGAAGGTAGCCTCCTAAGGGTTAAGTGACTTATTTCCTACCCAATGAAAATACACAAAGCATTTTAAAGAGTGACTTGTCAGAAGCCACAAAGCAGCACCAGAACCTTCCCTGGCCCTCTGAAGTGTGACGTTCCCCAGCCCTGGGTGACTTACCAAGGGAGCCAGTGCTCTGTAAGTGACCATCTAAGATCCATCCGTGGCCGTGTTGGTCAGCCAACAAGGGCTAGTTTAATCTCTCCACAGCTGGACTCTCAGCACAGAGGCAAGTGTCCGGTCCTCTGGGCTCTGCAGCTGTCCAGCATGTTGAGCTTTCCATCCCCCCCGCAGCCCCTAGTCACCCCCATGTTGTTCCTCATCCACCAAGCCTCACCCAGAGACGAGGCTGGCATGGCACAGACCACTGGATCTAGCTTATTCAGACCCTTAACCACGAGGATTCTGGGACTTGAACTGCTTCCGAAAGTTCCCCCGAGTCACCTGAGCCCAGTGGGATGGAGCGGTGAAGCACATGTCTGTGTCAGCGGGTTGGTAGCCTGAACTAGAAGCCCAAGTTCAGGGCAGAGGAGAGGCAGCGAGACATGCAGTCAAGAGAACTGAGCTTGGACAGGGCACCGCACGCCGTCCACACTCACCTGAAGGGGGAATAACTGGCTCCAGCCAGTAGCTCCGGACAGAAGTGTTCTTTTTCCGAGAGACAAGAACAATCTTGTCTCCTCTCCCAAAGCCTTGCACAGAACACCCCTTTGCCGCTGCTCCCCCAGGGGTGGGGCAAGGAAGGACAATAGGAACCTAGGCAACAGGGGTCCACAGGGGCTGTCAGCCTGGACCTGAGGCTCCAGGGCAGCTTTGTTGTCCGGAGGGTTTATTACAGCCTTCTAGCTTGACCAAAGTGGACACCACCCGGGCTGGCTCCCTGAGACGTGAATGTGGACACCACCCGGAACGGACTGAAAATGTGCAAGCGATGCAGGTTCACCCCAGATGCCACCTGGCCCCCACAGGGTCCGATGGGCAGGGGTCAGAACTCTACCCCTCCCCAGACAAGAGAGAGGCTGTGGATCCTTCCCAGAGACTAGGGGCTGGGGTGTGGGGCAAAAGCTGAGGGTTTCACACGCCAGCCTCTCACTGGGGAAAGACACCACAACTGAGGGCCACAGCAGTGTCACCCTGACTGAGGGACAGAAGAGGGATGCTGGGACAACCTCCTCCAGGACACCTGGGCAAAGCTGACAGTAGGGGCATGCTGACCAAGCTAGGCCGAGAAACTGGCCCCTGCTGCTCCTCACTCAGGGCTAGCGCTGCCTTACGCGATCACAAAGCCTCTCGGGGGAGCACCGCCAAGCTGTCAGTTTCTAGAGAGGCCAACCCTTCCTCTTCCCTGAGGCAACTGCACAGGCTCAGCCTGTCCTATGGGTTGGAGCACAAGTCCAGCTGAGAGCTCTTGTTACAGGGGGACAGGCAGGCCCTCAGGGAGGGAACACAGATTTCTCAGTTAATTATTTAAGAAGCACTCACAGGAGGTGCAACAGCAGGTAGTATTTCCTCAGTCCTAAATTGTGTGTGCGTATACTCAGTACAAGTAGACAATTCTGTCATTCCACAGTTGGCCTACAGGGGGCAATCTCTCCCTAGCAAAGATGACACCAAGGACTTCGAGATGCTGCAGGAAATGCTTCATTTAATTGGCCAATAGAGGTTTTGTTTAAAGGAAAGAGAAAAATAATAATGTCAGTACATTCCAGTTCACAATTTTCACCCATATGTATTTCCACAGAGGTGGGGTTGTTATTTTTTTTCTATTTACCACAGTAGGTACATTGAAGCTTTGAATAAATAAATACTTGGATGAATCTGTCAGTTGATTAAAGCTAACCCGGACTTGTCTGAAGCACAGGAAGCACAGGGGAGGACAGGGGACAAGCGAGAGCGGGGGAATGTGCGTGGAAAAGCCCTTTCCTTTCTGGTTAACAGTCTGCCGACTGGGAGAAAGGATGCATTTGGAATTTTCCAAACTCCCTTTCCCCAAGAGCAAGGCATTCACTTACTTCCTAAAAAATAGCCATCGATAAATAACATCACCTTGGTCTTATAAATCTTCCCCCCTATTTCAGGGACCCCCAAATACATGTGCAGTTGGTAAGCTAGCTCTGAGGTTAGACTGCTATGCTTGCAAAAGCTTTGACATTTACCCATCAGCCCTTTCAGATCGATTGTTTCTATTCCTGGTCCCACGCTGGTCCCCACTGCAGAGTCTCACTGTTCCCATCAAAGTCCACTGGTCACTGAGAAGAAACAATGGAGGCGGGGCCTCGGCTGCAGCCCCGAGCACAGAGTGGGCCAGCCTGGCCAGGCACAGCACACATACATGGGTCCTTGGAGGACACAGCCCACAGCTCCTTCTGCCTGCTTCTCCTGCCTGTCTCTCAAACCCAGCACCTCCCTCATGTTCCAAGAGCCAGTGAACAGCACCTTTTACCACCACCACCACCTCCAGTGCTGCCCGAGCCCCAGGTGGACACCTTTCCTAGAGAGATGGACAGACACGGGCAGGCTCAGAGCGTTGGGTTGGAGTACGCGCAGGGCTGATTTCTTTGTCCAGGGGCACAAAACCAACCCCAGAGCCTTTGGGCCTCTGATGGGGACCCACTTCCATGAGAGCTGCCTGTAGGCATTTCAGCCTCACCCACATGGCTCTGTGAGGAGGAATGGCTAGGGGCCTTGTCACCAGTGCAGGCTCCCCATCTGATGGGGTCCTGGTCCCAGCATGTCACCATGCAGGGGAGAGGAGCCAGTGAGGCGACCACAGCAGGGGTGGCTGGGAGGGAGACAGAGAAGTCAGGGCCAGCCTCCTTCCACTCCCTGAAAAGGCACCCTTTGGGAGAACCCTCGGCGTCTAGCTAGGCCCAGGGCCCTAAGCACATGCACGGAAGGGACACATGGGGTCCCATCGCCCTGCCTGGACGTGGAGGTTGCATGTGTGAACTCCCCTGAGTTGGGGCACCTATGCACAGTCCTTCAGTCTCGGGGGTGGGGGTGGGGGGTGGGG